CAAAGTGCCATGATATAAGTGAAATTATAAGATGTAGCAGGTTTGAAAAAATTTAGAATGTATCTATACATTTTAATGACAGCGTAAACATTAACGCTTCCGACCACCTTTGCAAATGTCAAAATAGCGTCCATTCCTTGATAGTTTTTCAGAATCAATAAAAAAATTACTGTTTAGTAGGAAACTGCAGTATTGACGAGAGTATATGAGAGTATATACTCCATATGATGGAAGACGCTATGCCACACAAAGCTTCAAAAATTGGGCGCTATGCTCCAGTTTAGCTTTTTCAATATCGTCGGTTAAAAAGCAGAAAGCATTAAGTCAGGAAATTGCGTTTTGAGTAAAGTTAATTTGAAAAAATCGTAAAATAGTAAAACTAAACAATTAGTGCAATGGGATTGGTCTCTTTAATTTCTGGATTTATAAACTACATTCTGGATTTGCATGATTTTTTGCCACAACAAAGATTATATTATTCTGATTTAATTCATCTATGAAATCCGAATTCTCAAAAAATGCACTTAGTGCTTTCTGCTTTAACCGACGATATATACAGAGTGAAACACAGAAAATTCAAAAAATTTTGGTTTTGGCGGCGATGTAGTTTTTAAACCAATAAGTCAAGGAGAATTACCTTCAAATTCGGGAATTAAAATGTACTTTGATAAAAAAATTCAAATTTCAATAAGCAGATAAGGCAGTAGCAAATTTAATATCTATAATAGGTGTTAGAGGTGTCGGTGGCCTAATTTTGCTTATTTTTTTGACGCTGAAGAAAAGTACCGAATCATTACTTGCATTCAGACGGTGCATTGGGATTAGTTTATTAACAAAATATGGCCATGAGTCTAAGAAACAATGTAATAGTAAAACCTTACTTTGTACCAGGCATGATAACAAGGATCACTGGGTGGTAATTAATACCAGATGTGGTTATAAATTTGGTAGAAAAACAAAATTCAAATATCCAAAATGCTTCATGTAACGCAATATAATAATTTTTGAAGTTGCAATTTTTTTATTTTTTGAATTTAATTTAGTTTTTTGTTTTCTTGTTATAATTTTTATTATTTTTGATTGTTGAATTATTTATTTTTGAATTTTTTTTAGTTCTAAGTTATTAAATCGCAAATTTTTGAAGTTGTTCTTTTTTTGGACAGAAATATGCCAATAAATATATCAAAATTAATTGCTTTAACATTTTTACCGACCGTATTGTGTATACGGTATAGGTAGGTTATGTGATGGCAACAGATTTTGCATATCGAGTCGGTGGGAACGTACTTCCCCATAGTAGGGAAGTGTAAATAAACTATTTTTAGCAACCTGTCGGTCTGTCGGTCTGTGTGTGCACGCGTGTATCTCAAGTTCTGCTAAACCGATTTTGATGAAATTTCATATATAAGTTTATTTCCCCCATGGCACGGATTAATCAACTTTTGGGATATATCAGGCCTCGGGAACTGCACTTTTTAGCGGGCCTGTTTTACATTTTTCAACATTTTGAAGAAAATATTCAATCGATTTACTTGAAATTTCATATATAAGCCTTGTTCGACCGTCCGCAAAAATTTCTAATTTTTGGAAGAAATCAGGCATCAGCAACTGGACGTTTACTACGGGCCAAATATACAATTTGTGTATATAAAGAGAAATAATCAACTGATTTCATTGAAACTTAATATTTGAATTTCTCGTATTAAAACAATGAACATAAAAATTCTGTGGAAAGATCAGGACTCGAAAACTGATTTGCGGGCCGATTTTACATTTTTGATCATATTCACGGAACAAATTTATGGAATTTCTTGAAATTTGATATTTGAGATTTGGCTGTTACCGGAAATAACTGGCGAGCATTTCAGGGAATTCGGGTAGCACAAAGCGAAACTCTACTAAGAGCCAAATTTACATTTTTAGAGGTATGTTAACTATAAGCTTAGTAATGACCTAAAAATTGGAAAGAAGTATTTAAAAGACATTTTTATAATATTCCGTAACACTTCCACTTAACTAGACAATACACAATGCGGTCGGTTATGTGCTGACCACATCAGATTTTTTTAAATTAAAACATGTGTGGGTACTCTATGCATACTATTTTATTTATTGAACACCTTATAAAACTCAAATTATGAAAATTTAAAATTTCTGCACAATATTTTAATGTGATAATGGGTTAAGGAGTTTAAGCAACAAGATTTGCTTTAACTCTACTTTGCTTGGCACCAATTGTTGTATAACAGCAATTATTCTGAATTCCATTTTTCTTATTATTTTCTTTACAGTTACAGTTAAATTACAGTTACCAAACTTGCTAAAATGCTAATTTGTCAAGCCTTAATATTAACGCATAAGTATTTGCAAACATTACAGTTAGTTAATGTAAATATTATCATACGTAAATTTCTCACAATAGTAGGAGTCAAATTACATATATTTTGTTTGTTAATTTTACTTTGAGTAAATTTGAAACCTATATCATACGTAACTTAACATGGAAAAATTATGAATTTTAAAAAAGCGTGAAATTGGGAACCATTTCTGTGGGAAATAATTATTAATTTTAAGTAGTATAATTTTTGTATAAATAGGTCAGATTTTTAATAAATAAATTAATTACCTTCAAACCAAGCAACAAGAAGTTTTTCAATTAACCTCTCGAACATTTTGGGGGCTCAACCAAAAAATACAGACAAAATGGCACAAAATCTAAATCTGGATAAAACTGTTGCCGAACAAAAGGAAATAGGAAAAGACAGAGAAAAGTTACTGATTAACTTTATATTTATACATACATATTTCAAAACTGAATACTACAACAAGGTGAAGCAAATCAAGAATACTGCAACAAGTTGGAACAACTTGCAAGAACGACTCGTTGCTCAAAGCGCAACCCAACTCAAGGGCTCAAAAGTTGAAAAGCAAACTGATAAGGCAATGAAACGGACGACGATTTAGAAGAAAACCATAATGAAGAAGCTGAGTTAAACTCTGATAATTTGATAAACATAGAGCAACAGCAGCGCTACATAAAGCAGCATAATAAAATAAAAATGTTTTACCGAGTTGAATGCATGCAACAAAAGGACTCTGTTACAGTGTGCGTGCAATATCTTGAAACATTGACCACATATTGGAAAGATATCATTGCAGAAAATGATGACATAATTATGAAAAAATGAACAAGAATGAGAATACCTACAAGATGAGCAGTTGAAAAAAAGTGGAAGAGAAAAGTCGCTAAATCGTTACAAGGAAAAGGTAGCATACGCAGGACCAAATTGAACCTGGTGAGTCTACAAGAGCACAAGAAAACCAAGCACATTTACCGCAAATCAACATACCAACGTTCAACGGCCAGTACGACTCATGAAAAATCACATTTCCAAGGCTTTTATTAATTAAGTAGCTAGCAATTTTAAAACGGCCATACATGATAGAAAAGTAATTGTACTAATATTTCTGTGCGATTTGGAAAGAGCTTTCATCAACACAATGATTTTAATAAGAAAGCTTGAAACTTAACTGTCTGGCACAAAATAAAGAGTAAAGGTGAAAGGTACTTTGTCTATTTCATTAGATGTGACATGTGGTGTTCCGCAAGATAGTATAAGGAGTTCTTCTATTTTTAATATATGTACATAAATTATATTGAAGAATCAATTGAATTATTAAAGTTAGCTGATGATACATTTTTATATGTATATTGTGACAATATGAGGGAATGTGTTGATAAAATAAATAAATACATTTTGAACTTAAACAAATACTTGGAAATGAATAGGCTAAAACTTAACACAACAAAGATTAAACACATGGTTTTTAATGGCCAAATGTTTTTGATAAAAATAAGGAAGAAATGAAATTTTGAAAAATGTCGAGTTTTTGTTGGAAGCACATTTCTCCATAGTAGGAAAGCATAAATAAACTACTTTTAGTGAGATGTCTGTCTGTCGGTCTGTGTGTGCACGCGTGTATCTTAAGTTTGCTTGAAGCGATTTCTTTAAAATCTTATATGTGAGTTTGGCTATGGCACGTATTGCTCAACTTTTGAGTCATACCAGACCTCGAGAACTGGACTTTTTTGTGAGCCAATTTTACATTTTTGTTTATATAAAGAGAAATTATTAACCAATTTCTTTGAAATTTAATATTTAAATTCGTGATGTTAAAACAATGAATCTTTAAATTTTTGAAAATATCAGAGCTTGAAAACCGAACTGGGTGCACGTGCGCACTTTTACATTTTTTACCATATCTACGGAATGGATTGATGGAATTCCTTGAAATTCCGTATTTCAGTTCTGGTTATTACAAAAACTAACTGTTGAACTTTTCAGGGAAAAGAAAGCGAAATTCGGGTTTAGGAAAGCGAAATTCTGCCAAAAGCCAAATTTAGGTATGGAAGGTAAAACCTTGTTAACTTCCTTATAATTAAAAAGAAGTTTTCAAAATACATTTTCATATTCTTCTGCACGACTCTCAATAAATCAGGCAATATACATTGCGGCCACTCATATGCTGATCGCATCGGATTTTTTTTAATTAATAAATTAATGAAAGTCGTAATTCTATGTCAGTAAAAACATACATAATATTTTATCCAAATTATTTAAATACATAAAATACATAATATTAAATCAAAAGCATATCAAACAGGTGGAAAAAAGTTATCAAAAATAATAATTGTTCTATTTTCTCGTAAATTTTTCATATTACTTGTTGGAAATTTTTTTGATTTAAAGAAGCGAACAATTTTTTAATACATTATGCACTCTTAGAATCTAAGACCCTAATTAAACGAAATTCAGCGAATTTAAGTATTTAACGAACTGCTTTTATATATATATATATATGTTATAGGCATCTGGTTTGCATAATATTAGTACCGCCGTTTTTTTTTAAGTTTTACTAATATTCTTACTATTCTTAGTAATTATATTAGTGACAAAATTTTGAAAAATTCACAATAATTATTATGGTTTTGTTTTCAGCCACAAAAATAGAAGTGCTTGGAGAAACTGGATCGCTATATTCTGATAAGTACTACAAAACAGGTAGCACAATTGAGTTAAGCTGTATAATTTCGAAAACAAATGATCTCAATTCTATAATCACATGGAAACATGATTTGAAGTTCATAAATTTTGAATCTTTAAGAGGAGGTATAAGGTAAATAAGAAATATAATTTCCGCTTTTTGTGATTAAAAAACAAGTTGTTACATTGACGTGAGACGTTTTAATATTAACAAAAAAATAATATTAGAAATTTGACGTACAATTTTGGATTTGTTGACATTATGCCTGAGTAAGTATCTGACAGTTTTAGCGGTTAAGCTTAGAAAGAGTTTAATTGCTTTAGCATTTCCTGAAGAAGAAAATTGATGAAAATTATAGGTTCGATTTTTCAACGATGTTTATACTTCGTGTCAGTCAGAATTAAAAAACAATTTCAAATAGACCAAAATTTTTTTCAAAAATAATATTAATTATTTTTCAGAAATACTTATCGGGTACTCGTAGATTGTATATTTAGTGGGTCCCGAGTGCAAGACACCCACCAGGATTTCCCTAATCCGTGAGAGTAATACACTCTCAGAGAAGGTGTACTGATGTCTCTCTATCTTATCCTTATAATTTTCTTAAGACGCTTCTGGTCATAATCTTCTAGAAGCCCCTTCAACTGCCCCAGCCCCACAAGACTACCGCCTCCTCTCTGGTTCTCTTCCTAATTCTCAACGAAGTGTGTTAGCCCCTAGCGCGCCAGCCGCCTATTTCAATCCACATCTACATGGCGTGGCATCCAGCACAAAGAGATCCTATTGTACCTACCCAATTCATTGAGTTTCTCAAGGCAGCTCCATACTCAGCGGAGGAAACTGACAACGAGCTCAGCGCTTCGATGGCAGCCTGGTTATCCAACAAAATCACTATGTCCTGTCTCCGATATCCCCTTTCAAGGCTGAATTGCACGCACAATTCAATAATGCGCACCTCGGCCAGAATTTGGATCTTTTGCAATCATTCTCAGAATATATCGCTGTTATCACAAGCTCCATTTGTGAAATATTATCGAAGGTCAAGTATAATTATAATTCCAATACAATGTGCAAATATGACCAAAAATTTAATACCGCCCTAGATATAATAATTTTAGAGCTTTGTTTATTCAGAATCCTTACGGAAAGTTCAGAACCTATTAAAAAGAGTGAAAGTATATTAATTTTTTCTATTTTTATTTTATATAAAAAGTTGTTTATCTTATATAAAGTACGTTAAGAATCTCTGAGGATTTTTTTAAAGTTGAAGTGTTCAGAGTCATTTAGTTTTATCATAATATATAGCTAAAAAATTTTTTATTAAAAAAACTTAGCAGCTTTAAAATAATCGTCTATAACTTGATTGACCAATAACAACTCGGTGCTGACAAATGCACTATTAGACTTGTGTAGCATATATTTTATTATGCTTGTGTAACATATATTTTTCAACTTTTCAGATAGGAGTAATTTTTGTAATCACTAACTCGTTTTTTTAACGAGTATATGCATTTGTGATTCCTTTCACGTGTAACATTTTCGTTTCTCCAGAGTCAGTAAATATATCACCAGCTTCGTCAAAATGCTGGTTGCGCGCACATCTAAGCAACTAAACGATTGCGTCAATTCAAATCGATCGAATTAAATAAAAAGGTCTTGGAATGCTTAATTGCATTGTATTCTAGTTACAAGTGTGCGCGCTTTATATTAAACCTATGGAATATAAATAAGCTATCGAGAAATGTTAAAAAACACAGATCATAAGAATAAAATTGCAGCCATAAGTATATTTTTAATTTTTTATCAATAGCTTTACACAAAACAAACACACTTTTCTTCACTGAAATACTATATATAGTTGGTGGTCTTATTAATCCTCATAACAGTATAAATTATAATAGCTTCTAAGAAAATAAAAACATCATTTATAATATCATTTAAAAACCAAAATATTATTAATAAAACTATTTGAAAAAAGAGCCCCGGAACACAGCGTGTGCAGTATGTAAATTCTCTAAACAATAGCATTCGGCAGAACTTTTATATGGAAACGAAGTTATCAAAAAGAAAGTTCATTCGGGCATAACCAAATTACCTGAGTATAAATCATAGCGCTTTTTAGTGTCGGCTGAACTCTTAGACTTCCACACCTTAATACATTAGTTCAAATCAATTTATATCCCTTACTAAGAGTTGATAAAAATCGCTAAACTTGGAAAGAGTAGTATCGCAAAGCGAAATTTTACATCGTTTACCGCACTGTAAAGTTTCAAATACAATTTTTCACAAAAATTCTATATCCAACACCGACTCTGAATTTATTATACCCTTACGAACGTATGTTCGTAAAGGTATAATAAAGAAATAATGGTCTATGAATTATACTCAAGTATATATTCTTGATCAGCGTCAAATTCTGAGTCGATTTAGCTTTGTCTGTCAGTCTGTCCGTCCATCCGTTCGTTCCTCCGTCCATCCCAATGATAACTCAAAAACTAATTGAGCTAAGTTCACCGAATTTTCACAACTGATTTATTATAGTAAATTCCAGAACACTATGTAAATTGGTTAAGATCGCGATACAACTTCGGGTACCTGCCATAAACTTCCAAACTCAGGAGCTATAAATGCTGTGGTATTGAAATTTCACACGAGCAAATATAGCATTATCTTAAAAATTATTGGAGTTATAATATAGAAATTTCGTAAAAGCAAGTGCATTATTAGGGCTGTTATTTGTCATAGTCACATGTTTTACGGTGAGCAACTTAAAGACATAAGTCTGTGCCATAGTCAGCTATGGCATATTTTGTTGCACATAGGATAACAAATTCGTGCGCGTATCACAGAGTTGGCACAGTCAACTCTATTTTTTCTCATTAAAATTAATTTCTTTAAAAACAACCATGTGTAGCCCTGCAATGGTAGATATGGTTATGTTACGTTGATTTCGTTGCTATCTCATTCGGGTATTTTGATGCCGATTCGATGATTTTGATGGTTTGGGTATTGTATTTTAACTATTTCAAATATAGGGTTAGTTGGTTTTTTGATTATTATCGAATAAATATAAATTATTTGAACTTTTAATATAATAATAAAGATTTTAATATAATAATAAAGGGGGTTGGAGACTCGATGATATTCCCCCAGCGAAATAAATAACTTTTCGATTTATGGGTCCTCAAAATTGAAATATATGAAAACCATCCTTTTGAATTTCAGAAATATTCAAGTGGAAAATAAAACTTTTTAAAAAAATTTCGCAATAAATTTTCATTTCATCGTAAAGAAAAACTCTTTACTCTGACCTTCATTTTGATATAACATAATTTGGCAAAAATTATGAAAATAATATGTCTATATTGCAAAAAAATTGCAACATTAAAAAAAAACTCTGATGTGGTGAGCACGTAACTGACCGCAGCGCCTGTTGTCTAGATTAGTAATATTATTCCATAAGATTATGAAAATGCATTTTAAATACTTCTTCTGCAAAGATTTGACAAATTCAATGTCTTAACATCTCGAATTCAAATATTAAATTTCCATGAAATCGGTTGATTACTTTTCTTTATATACGCAATAATGCATATTTGACCCGTAGTAAACGTCCAGTGGCTGCCACCTGATTTCTTCCAAAAGTTAGGAGGTTTTGTATACGGTCAAATGAGTCTTATACCTGAAATTTCAAATAAATCTGTTAAAAATTTTCTTCAAAGTGATGAAAAATGTAAAACCGACCCGTTAAAAGGTCCAGTTCACGGGGCCTGGTATATCCCAAAACTATTCACTAAAATCGGATCAGCCGAATTTGAAATACACGCGTGCACACAAAGACCAACGGGTTGCTAAACTAGTTTATTTACACTTCCCTACTATGAGAAGTACGTTCTCACCGAAAACTCGATATCATGTCGGTTTTGTGGTCAACACAAAACCGACGGCAATGTATATTGCCTAGGTAAAAGTGTTACAGAAAAATACGAAAATGCATTTTTAACACTTCCTTTCAATTTTAAGGACACTTGTAAGCTTTAAGTTAACATGCCTAGAAAAGTGTAAATTTGGTTCTTAGTAGAACTTTGCTTTGTGCCATTCGAATTCCATGAAAAGTATTGAATGTCAAGAAACTCCATCAATCCGTTCCGTAGATATGGTAAAAAATGTGAAATAAGCCTTCAGTTCGGGTTCCGAGTTCTGCTCTTTCCAAAAAAATTAAGGATTCGTTGCTTTGACACCCGAATTTAAATATTAAATTTCATGGAAATTGGTTGATTATTTTTCCTTATCACTTACCGAGATCTGATATATCACAAAAGTTGATCAATCAGTGTCATAGATAAAATAAACTCGCATATAAAACAGACTGACAGACTGTTCCCGCCGAAAGTGCGACATCGAAAATTTCTTGCCATCATATAACCCACCTCATGGCATATACAATGCGGTCGGTAAAAATGAAATATTTTTATTAAAATTACATTGGGATCTATTGCTCCAACCACTTTTCACTTTTGTTTAAATCAACCTAAGTATCAAAAAAATTGAAAAGTTTCACTTGCATCAACATTTAAAACACTTGCCTTCTCAGTGAAATCCGCTTCTGGGTTGGCTGAATGGCGCACTTTATGTCAAACCTTTTCCCAATGATTCCCACAACTCTCCATTTTTATGAGAAACAGGAAGAAACCTTTTATTTCTACCGGTTTTTCCTTTTTGATAGTCCGCCAGTAATTTATAACACCTTGAGCTCTTTGATCCTTACGATGCGTATTCTAGGAATTGAAAAATATTCTGAAGATTTCCTTGTTATGTTTGTGTTCAATTCATCTAAGTGGAAACCATCTGAATATTCGCTAATCTTGGCCATTAAAGAAGTAAGGGAAATCCACAGTTATCGCATTTGATCAGCTTGTAACCTGTATCAACCTCAGATGAATTAAAGCTTAAGACAGCCTTGCTAGGAGGTACTCGACTACCTTTGACGGCTAGGAGGTACTCGAATACCATCTCAAATAGTTTAAACTCTACCTTACACATAAACTCTACTTAAAATTTAAATATTGATCGGCTTTCTATCTGCAACTCTAAAATGAAGACGGGCGCATACTATCACGCTCGCCATTTTTTTTAAGAGTTGTTCGACATTTTGCTCTTTTGAGTATTTTGTTTCTAATCCTAAGATTTAGTTCGATGCCCCAAGCAGATATCATATACCCCAGAGTTTTTCCCATTTTTGATCTCTTAAGTATATACGGAGACCGGTCTATGCTTTCAGTCCTGGAACTCTCGTTTAAGATCACCCCATCGGCTTTATTAGTATGGTAGAATCCACCGATATCATTCTCAAGTTTGCCGGTTCTATTCAGTTCCCGCACCACGATAAGGTAGAGTTCCGCCAACGAAGAATGGTACCCTTCTTTAATAATTAATTCTTCACCTGTGTTTCACCTGTTGGAAATACTTGTAAATAACACGTCCCACGGATGTTAATCATGCTTAGGACTGTCACTACGACAAGGTGAGATTCTAGCGCGGGAATTTAAATTTCTTAATTTTCAAAATATTTAATCCTAAATAATCTTTAAATTGTCAATTTCAGCTTTTTAAACATAAACAACAGCTTTATAACTGCTCACTATAATTGAATCTTATTTTAATACAGTGTTAAAAGTGAATCATTTTCCGATCATGCTGTCAGTAGACTTTATATTGCCAACGCAAAAAAACAAGACTCTGGAAATTATACCTGTATGTTAAACAACGAAAGCAAAGCGACAGTCACAGTTCACGTTCTTTCTGGTATGTATAGGAAGCTTAAATGTAACTATAATTACTTAAACATAAATATTTGTTTCTTTTACTAAATTTAGGTGAATATCCGGCGGCAATGCAACATTCTGGAACTATAAAATACGGCATGATTACAGTAACTTTGCTTTTAAGTTTCATTTTATTTCTAGCTCGATGACAACGAGTTTTATGGAATTGATTGTAACTATTATTGAAAAAAGCAGAATCGAACAGAAATTATATAAAGCACTGAGTACGTTCCTTTTTCGAAACCTTATTTTATTTATTTAGTTGTGTATTACTGAAAATTATCATATTAATATATTTAATTTAATTATTTTTCCACATGAAATCGAGACAGTAAATAATAAAATAATATGTGAGGATTGGTTTAAACTTTTTATTTGGTTATATATAAATTTTAAACTTATATACGTTAAGACCCTAAAAAACTTATTGCATTAAATACACAAGTTTTGCAAATTAAAAATTTTTGAAGGACATTATATTAAATTAAAAAAATTCAAATTAAAAATTAGCTAAATGATTCCTTTATTTAACTATAAATTTTTCATCGTATCGGGTTTTCACAGCTTATTTCAAAATGTCATATATTGGTCTGCTGCAAAATGTGCGTATCAGAGTAAAACTTTCCAATACTACATCAACGAGGGTGTGAGAAGTATAATTGATATAGAATATAAATATAATAAAGTTGGGTCAAACCAATGGTTTGTATTGTAAAACTTCCCTTCAACAAGTGAAAATACTGCTTTTAAATACAGTCTATGTATACCTATAACACTATTAAAATTATTTTCATTCATATACAAAACTTCATTATGCTTTTTAATGTCATGGAATTTACCGTGAACTTCTTGGGTTTATAAAAATTTAAAAAAGCTTGCCGTTTTGAAAATATAAGGTGTCAAAAATTCAAATTTTACAAATTTCAAGAGACGATAACTTGAGAGGGGGTGGAGATTTTTGGAAAATTTTCTCTTAACAAAATAAACTATTTACTAGTGTCTAACAGCTGCTAAAATTTTAATCTCCTAGAGTTTGTGGTCTAGAAAAAAACACAAGATAAAAAATTAGGAAAAAACCGATTTTAGGTAAAGGTAAATTTGAACGGCCACTTTGCTTTTAATTAAGTCATTGCCTTTCTGCGTTTGCAAAATATGCAGAATGCCTATGGTTTCACTCCAATAAAAAGTTAAAAAACGTCACTTTTAGGGTTTTGGATAGGTATAACTTCCAGAGTGGGGGCGATAGATAAAAATTTTCTTCTACGGAAATAAGTTTCTAGTAAAGATCCATGTAGATATTAAATTTCAGCTTTCTATCTTCAAGGGTGTAGAAGTTTTGTAAACAAGTCCGCGGACGGACGGACGGACAAAGTGAAAATAATAAGACGTTTTTTTCAAAATTTTTTTTAAGAAGTGCTAAATAGCGTAGTTATTTTATTGAAAGTAATGGCGATACAGCTAGCACTGGAGGTGTATATTTAGAATACGTACACAACACAACAAACGATAGAACTTCTCTATACAAGAATCTATCACACGCTCTATTCAAAGTTTTGGCAGAACTGTATTTGATTTCTTAGTGAATAATACAAGTTTTCTCAAATATTTGGATTTATAGTAAAATCAAATAAATTAGCTGATAGCGAAATACAAGTATACAACACTTATTTTACCACATTATAGAAACTTATAAGTATATTCTTTAATTTGAATGGTTAAATATTTTCAGGAATTGATAAAATTCTATATTTAGTTTAAAGTAATCTTCTACATTCCATCATTGGAAAATATTTTATAATTTTCGTAATTATTTAAATTCAGGTTTATTTCCAAAAGCTGGAAAAATGAATTAATTTTTACAACAATGAAACCAGGAAAAATATTTAAGCAGCCCAGGCTTCTGTAGACCGATTACCTAACATCAATCCATAAAAGTGTTTCAATCCATTGTTAATAAAATTTTATGGTAGATAATGAATACATTTTAGAAATACAATTTCTATAAATCAATTTTAGTGTAGAAACAAATATAGTACAATTCGTGCTATTACAACAATATTTGCAGGCAAACCATTAACAAAATAAGGTGTTGGAACCTGTTTTAATATTAGAGAGCCCAATACTGTTTGAATTGTGTACATTTTGTTGTTCGGTCATATTTAAATTAGTTGAAATGGATTTTTTTTTATATTAATCCATAACATGCTTCGAGATAAATATAGTAAATAACATAGAACAAGGAACTGTAAATTCACTCATATTTTTTATATGTGACTAATTAAAATAAAAAGAAATCGTAAATTTAAAATATTATTGCAAGGGATTTTTTTTAAATAAAAAGAAAAGAGATCTTTCAAAAATTAAAAATTCTAGTAATGTTAAATATCATTCACTAACTGAAATTTTGTTACTATATGAAGATTCAACTGGCAAAGCCGCATATGTTTCTATCAAAATATTTTCTTTGTAATTTTTAAATAACAAAGTTAAATTATTATGTTACTAGACGGTAACTATCAAGATTTTAACCTATTGCCCTATTTGATTTAAATTACTTCAGACACGGAACGAATTAGGTTATCCGAAGGGAAATGCATTATATCTTAACAGTGATCATATAGAAATTCATTTACTAGTTCCGTTAATAAATATTCCAATCAAAATATTTATGATACAAATCTAATCAGAAATCAAAATATTAGAGCTATTCCAAATAAATCAGAGAATGGTACGGAATTTTTGTCTAATTCTTTTCATAATTTTCTACACGTAGAAAATGGGAATTACGAATTGATCTTTTTACTATATCTGCTACATTTACAAAATATTTTATTGCTTTACTTAATTTTAATATTCGTAAATTTAAATATTTTTGTTCTTATATTTAAGAGTAAAATATATATTACAACCAATTTTTTTGACTGCTCAATTCCCTGGCGGTTACGGATAGCTGAATAAATATAAAACCAATATAAAAATAACCCTTTATATCGGCCGAGGATGCTATAATATATATCATCTGAAAAGCTAGTTTTGAAAGTACGGAATGTTTTCTTGACCCAAAGTACCAATAAGTTTGTGAATCTATAGCTGTTTTATCATCAAAACATAAATTTTCTTTTAATAGTGCTACAGAAAATATTTCTGAACTTCTGACAAAAGCTTCCTAATCGACCAGCCCTTCAGGTAAAAAGTTTTTAAGTAAATAGTTATTTCTTTGCTAGTAACGATCTTCAGATTTCGAAAAAATCCCTTCGTATGTAGGACAGAATTTATTGTAATTCTAGATCCAAAAATTTGTTTGAAAGTTTTAACTTCAAGTTGTCTTATTTGTTTTGCATGTGTTTGTAAGTTTATACTAAACCTCTTACAGGTTTAATATTTCAATTTGATCTTTGACGGCCAACCAAATTTTCATTGTAAATTTCAACGGCTTGACTCTAAATAATCTATCGGTTAAATAAGAATAGAGAATATCTACATATTGCTTCGGTAGTATTTTTTCAATAATAAATTTTTTGTACATTAATCCTTCGTGGCAAGGTTTGTCAAAAGTCTGTGAAAAAATTGCTGCACAAATTTGTCTTTCCTCTAGCGCTTGCACAATAATATTTGTAATTCTATGAATTTGATAAGTAGTTGAATGATCTGCTCTAAAACCAAATTGGTGGTTCGGAATTAATCATCTCTCCTCAATTATAGGCCCCAGTTTTTTCAGTAATACCTATCCAAAAGTTTCGACAAAATTGGTAGCAGAGAAATTGGTCTATAAGACTGTGTCTCATTTAAAGGTTTTGGTATCATTATAACTTCCGTCATCTTCCAAGCATTAGGCAAATATTTTAACTTTAATGCAGAATTCATTAAAAAAGTCATCATTGTTATATCCTTTTTACCGACTGTTTTGTGTACAATAGGTAGGTTATGTAATGGCAACAAATTTTGCATATCGAGTTTTCAGTGGGAATGCACTTCTCCATTTTAGGCGTGTATCTCAATGTTCGGCTGAATCGATTTTGATGAAATTTTATATGTCAGTTAATTTCGACCATGGCACGGATTGATCAACTTTTGGGATGTATCAGGCCTGGGGAACTGCACTTACTACCAAGCCTGTTTTACATTTTTGACCATTTTGAAGAAAATATTCAACCGATTTACTTGAAATTTCATATATAAGCTTAGCTCGTCCGTCCGCGAACCCTCCTAACTTTTGGAAATCAGGAGTCAGCAACTGGAGGTTTACTACGGGCCAAATATACATTTTTGCGTATATAAAGAGAAATAATCAATCGATTTCATTGAATTTTAATATTTGAATTCCTTGTACTAAGACAATGATCATATAAATTTTTTAAAAAGATCAGGGCTCCAAAACTGATCTGCAGCCCGATTTTACATTTTTTACTATATCTACGGAACAAATTAATGGAATTTCTTGGAATTTGATATTTGAGTTCCGGTTGTTACCAAAACTAATTGGCGAGCATTTCAGGGAATTCGGGTAGCACAAAACGAAACTCTACTATGAGCCAAATTTACATTTTTCTAGGTATGTTAACTATAACCTTACTAATATCCAAAAAATTGGAAAGAAGTCTTTAACAGACATTTTTATAATACTCTGTAACACTTTCACTTAACTAGACAATACACATTGCGGTCGGTTATGTGCTGACCACATTAGATTTTTTGGTAATTGGTTCAGTATCTTTTTTTTTTTTTTTTTTTTTTTATCCTTTTCAAACTCCAGTTGAGGAGCATAGGGCTTCGATTAAACCTCTCCATCTCTCTCTATTTTGGGCGATAGATCTTATTTGTGCCCAAGTTTTCCCCACTGCTGTTATTTCTTTATCTATCGTTCTACGCCACGTGTTCTTAGGCCTACCGATGCTTCGCCTACCCTGGGGATTCCATTCCAATGCTTGTTTGGCTATGGACTGCTCTGGCCTCCTCAATATGTGGCCTATCCATCTATATTTCTTTTTTCTGACTTCTATTTCTATCGGGTTCTGCTTGCACAGGTCCCATAGGTCACTATTTCTAATTCTATTGGGCCAGAATATTCGACAGATGATGCGGAGGCACTTATTTGTGAAAACCTGCATTTTATTTATGTCTTTCTTGTTAGTGAGCCAGGTTTCACTGCCGTATAGCATTACTGATTTGACGCAAGCGTTGAAGATCCTCAGTTTAACATTCCTGGAAAGTTGCGTGGACTTCCAGATCTTCCATAGTCTAGCAAATGCCGCCCTAGCTTTCTTGAGCTTGTCTTCAATGTCAGCGCCTGCCCCGCCATCTGAACTTATAATGCTCCCCAGGTATGTCACGGAACTCACATCTTCTATTATTTCGCCATCAATTTCAAATTCTTGATGATTTGTTGTATTTATTCTGATGGTCTTTGTTTTCCGCGTGTTTATGTGTAGGCCGACTTCCATTGCGCACTCTTTCAGTTTGTTTAGTTTTTGCTTCATGTTTTCGTATGTGTGTGCAAGTAGGCATACATCATCCGCATACTCCAAATCATCCAGGGTGTTGAAGATGTTCCAGCCGATTCCATTTCTTATAACATTCGTTTTCCTCATGATTTCGTCTATCACTATATTGAAGAGGACTGGCGACAGGGGACAGCCTTGCCTAACTCCCCTCGTTGTTGTTATTGGTTCACTTAGCCTTCCCTTGTGGAGGATCTGGGCCTCTGCGTTTTCATACATTGCTTTGATAACTTTGATTATCTTGTTAGGGATTCCCCTCAGCTCCAGAGCTCTCCATATGGCGCTTCTATTTATGGCGTCGAAAGCTGTCTTGAAGTCCACGAATGCCATATAGAGTGGCGAGTTGAATTCTTTAGATTGTTCCACAATTATTCTTATTGTGTTAATGTGCTCAGTACAACTTCTTCCTTCTCTGAAGCCTGCCTGTTCTTTTCTTAGTCGTTTTTCTATGTGATCTTTAATTCTTGAATGTAGGATGATGGCGAGTATCTTAATAACGGCATTGAGTAGTGTAATGCCTCTCCAGTTGCTACAGTTGGTCAGATCACCCTTTTTCGGAAGCTTCACAATGATGCCTCTCTTCCATTCTTTACATATGTTTTCAGTTTCCCAAATTCTCCCTATTATGGGCTGTAGTGCTCTAGCACATTGTAAGGGGTCTGCCTTCATTAATTCAGCTCTTATGCCATCAGTTCCTTCAGCCCTATTGTTCTTCAGTTGGGCTATGGCCTCACAAATTTCTCTGGATGAGGGTGGACTAGTGTTTATATTGCAGCGTTCTTCATTTCGACTTGCCCAGATTTCTGGCTGGAATTCCGGAAGTTGTGTGTTGGATGCTTCATTGAAGTATTCGACCCATCTTTCAATTTGTCTCTGCGTTTCAGTTAATATGTTACCATTTTTGTCTCTGATAGGATGTTCTTTATTGAGACCCCTATTCGAAAGTAACCTTATTTTCTTGTATAATTGTTTGGTGTCATGTTGTTCAGCTGCGACTTGCGCTTCTGCAGCGATATTATTATGGTATCTTCTTTTATCATTTCTGGCTGCTCTTTTGACTTCCTTACAGATCGTTTTATGTTGTTCTCGTACCGCATTGTTGTTTGTGTCTGTTAGAAGCTTCCTTCTCAAAGTTCTTCTCTTATTAATTAATTCCCATGTATCATCGGATATCCACCACTTTCTTTCTGGATTTATAGTCCCAATAACTTCTTCACCAGCTCTTCTATATATTCTTTGGATACCTTCTTCTGTTATTGGACTCTCTGTGACGATAAGATCTTCTATCTTCTGTGACAACTCAAATCTCTTTGCTTCTGACTTTAATTCTTTGGTGTTAAGGCATTTCCTCTTCCTGGTTGAGTTTCTTGCTAGGGCCGATAGTTTGAGTCTCACTTCACAGGTAAGTAACATGTGATCCGTTTGGGCATCCGCTCCTCTCATTGTCCTGACATCCATTAGCGAGGATCTCCATTTTTTGCTAATGCATATATGATCTATTTGGTTCTTTGTTATGCCATCGGGGGATGTCCAAGTGTATTTGTGGATGTTTTTGTGTGGGAATAGTGTGCCGCCAATTACTAGATTGTGTTCTCTGCAGAAGTCTCTTAGTCTTTCACCATTGTTATTCAACACACCAAGCCCATGTGTTCCTGTGGCCGTACATTCATCTTCTGGGTCCCTTTGCCCAACTTTAGCGTTGAAGTCGCCCATAAGTATCAGAATGTCCGTGCGCGGTACTTTATATATTGCTGCTGTCAGCTGCTCATATAGCTCATTTTTCTCGCTTTCGTCAGCTACTTCTGTTGGTGCATAGCATTGAATGATTGAAACCTTTCTGATTCTCGAGTTTAGTCTGAGGGTGATGAGTCTGTTAGATATGGGTTCCCAGCTTATTACACTTTTTGACATTTGTTTACTTATTATGAACCCTACGCCATATTCACCTCTACTGTTTCCCGAGTATATGAATTGGTTACCTTCGTTTGTCATAATTTCTCCATTTTCTTTCCATCTTATTTCAGATAGCCCAAGAATGCTGATCTTATACCTCTTCATTTCATTTTCTACTTGTGCTAGTTTTGAGGCCTCTCTTAAAGTTCTAACATTCCATTGTCCTATTCTTGTCCTTATGCGTGTGCCAAAGTTCGTTCCCGTTATTTCATTGCTTCTCCGAGGCTGAATCTCAGTTTCTTGAATCGTATTTTATTCACTAAGCAGATGATTAGTCTGTTGTAGTATATTCTACACGGTTGTATATAGCCACCTATCGTCTTGTAGAAGAGACGCGTCATGTACATCCCTAACACATTTTTCCCGTCAGATAGCGTTGTTGTCACAGGTTTGTTGGGTCCATTTATTATTGACAGGTTCATGACGTAAGGCTGTCAGTCTATTTGATGTTGTCATTCTCCATGTGTTTTTTATATTTAGTATTATTATATGAGAGTTATAGTTAATATTGAATATTTTGGGGTTATAATATTGGATATAATTTTTATAGGTAATTACTATGTATTAAGGTTATACTGATATTGTTTTATTATTTTAGCTATATCGTGGACGCTGTGGAGTATGAAATTACTTTTTTTCAGTAATTTCATCATATTGATAGTGCGACCACCGCGGGATTTGAACCCACGACCCCCCGGGTGAAAACCACTGATACTCGAGTGCATTACCACTCGGCCACCGGGGGCACGGTTCAGTATCTTAGAAGTAATTAAATCATAACCCGGTGCTTTCCTTGACTTTAAACTTTTTATTTCTTCCACTATTTCTTTTAGTGCAAATGGAGCAATAACGTTTTCTGCTCTCACATTTCCCATTGCAATATTTATGTTTGAGTGTATGTCATTTGGCCTAAAAATTTATAAAGATAATCTGCAAATATTTCAGCCTTAACCCTATTTTCCATTGCCCATTTGCCATCCGTTACTCTAGTATAGGGGACATGTAAAAATGTCTTTTTAATACTTTTTGCAGCCCTCCATAAGAAATAATTTATTAATTTCTTGCTGGGCTGACAAATTTTTAATGTAATTATCAAATTAATCTTCTTTGATTTTTCTTATTTTTCTTTTTAGATTCTGAGTGAGTCGATTGAGTGCAGCTTTATCTGCCGAATCTCGTGAGTTTTGCCATCTGCGACCAGCTCTTCTCTTTTCGCTTAATATATTTAGTATTTCTCTTGAATAAGTCATACCCACGGATTCATACTCATATTGTTTTGTATTATTCCAGGCGGTATGATTTTATTAAAATTCTCTACATCGGAATCCAAATTATCTTGGGTTCGTTCTTTAATTCTTAAGATAAATTTAAGACATATCTTAAGTTTATAAACTTAAGATTAATTCTCTATCTGTTCTTTAAAACTAGTCCAGTTAGTGGATTTAGTCATTTTAATTATAGTTTAACATAACTGCAGAATGATCTGAATCCAAGTCACAGTTATCTTCTATGAAAATGAAATTTGGCGAGACTTTCAAGACAATAAAGAAGTCCAGCTAATCTGATACCTTATTTCTATCACTTGGCCAATATGTTGGTCTACCAGTGGATTGGTAGCGACAAACAATGTCTTTAATAGCTTTTATCACCTCTCAACCTCTTGTTGAGGTCAACATAGAACAAAATCTATACGTTAGGCATTATAGTCACCTTCCAGAATAAACCTTTCTTTAAGCAGATTCAAGAAATCTTGAATAAACCACTCTTTATAAATGGACCCGGGGGACAGTAATCAACACCAACATTGAAATTTTGTTTATAGAACTCTACTCAGACAAATTGGCAATCAAGCAACAAATTGGCTATCGTCTCTTTCTACTTTACTTTCATTTATTTTTATATCTGTTGGCTGTTTTAAATGTGTCTCTGTTACTAAACATATATCAAAGGGTCCTTGGGAACATTTCTAACATACGCTTTTTATTAAGAACGCCATTTGCGTTCCACGCCGCAATTCTTATTCGTCCATTATTTTTTATTCTTTTTGGCGTACATATATAAATTATTATTATTATTATTATTATTATTATTATTATTATTATTATTATTTTTATTATTATTATCATTATTATTATTATTATTATTATTATTATTATTATTACTATTATTATTATTATTATTGTTATTATTATTATTATTATTATTATTATTATTATTATTATTATCATTATTATTATTATTATTATTATTATTATTATTATTATTATTATTATTATTATTATTATTATTATTATTATTATCATTATTAATATTATTATTATTATTATTATTATTATTATTATTATTAATATTATTATTATTATTATTATTATTATTATTATTATTAGTATTATTATTATTATTATTATTATTATTATTATTATTATTATTATTATTATTATTACTATTATTATTATTATTATTATTATTATTATTATTATTATTATTATTATTATTATTATTATTATTATTATTATTATTATTATTATTATTATTATTATTATTATTATTATTATTATTATTATTATTATTATTATTATTATTATTATTATTATTATTATTATTATTATTATTATTATTATTATTATTATTATTATTATTATTATTATTATTATTATTATTATTATTATTATTATTATTATTATTATTATTATTATTATTATTATTATTATTATTATTATTATTATTATTATTATTATTATTATTATTATTATTATTATTATTATTATTATTATTATTATTATTATTATTATTATTATTATTATTATTATTATTATTATTATTATTATTATTATTATTATTATTATTATTATTATTATTATTATTATTATTATTATTATTATTATTATTATTATTATTATTATTATTATTATTATTATTATTATTATTATTATTATTATTATTATTATTATTATTATTATTATTATTATTATTATTATTATTATTATTATTATTATTATTATTATTATTATTATTATTATTATTATTATTATTATTATTATTATTATTATTATTATTATTATTATTATTATTATTATTATTATTATTATTATTATTATTATTATTATTATTATTATTATTATTATTATTATTATTATTATTATTATTATTATTATTATTATTATTATTATTATTATTATTATTATTATTATTATTATTATTATTATTATTATTATTATTATTATTATTATTATTATTATTATTATTATTATTATTATTATTATTATTATTATTATTATTATTATTATTATTATTATTATTATTATTATTATTATTATTATTATTATTATTATTATTATTATTATTATTATTATTATTATTATTATTATTATTATTATTATTATTATTATTATTATTATTATTATTATTATTATTATTATTATTATTATTATTATTATTATTATTATTATTATTATTATTATTATTATTATTATTATTATTATTATTATTATTATTATTATTATTATTATTATTATTATTATTATTATTATTATTATTATTATTATTATTATTATTATTATTATTATTATTATTATTATTATTATTATTATTATTATTATTATTATTATTATTATTATTATTATTATTATTATTATTATTATTATTATTATTATTATTATTATTATTATTATTATTATTATTATTATTATTATTATTATTATTATTATTATTATTATTATTATTATTATTATTATTATTATTATTATTATTATTATTATTATTATTATTATTATTATTATTATTATTATTATTATTATTATTATTATTATTATTATTATTATTATTATTATTATTATATTATTATTATTATTATTATTATTATTATTATTATTATTATTATTATTATTATTATTATTATTATTATTATTATTATTATTATTATTATTATTATTATTATTATTATTATTATTATTATTATTATTATTATTATTATTATTATTATTATTATTATTATTATTATTATTATTATTATTATTATTATTATTATTATTATTATTATTATTATTATTATTATTATTATTATTATTATTATTATTATTATTATTATTATTATTATTATTATTATTATTATTATTATTATTATTATTATTATTATTATTATTATTATTATTATTATTATTATTATTATTATTATTATTATTATTATTATTATTATTATTATTATTATTATTATTATTATTATTATTATTATTATTATTATTATTATTATTATTATTATTATTATTATTATTATTATTATTATTATTATTATTATTATTATTATTATTATTATTATTATTATTATTATTATTATTATTATTATTATTATTATTATTATTATTATTATTATTATTATTATTATTATTATTATTATTATTATTATTATTATTATTATTATTATTATTATTATTATTATTATTATTATTATTATTATTATTATTATTATTATTATTATTATTATTATTATTATTATTATTATTATTATTATTATTATTATTATTATTATTATTATTATTATTATTATTATTATTATTATTATTATTATTATTATTATTATTATTATTATTATTATTATTATTATTATTATTATTATTATTATTATTATTATTATTATTATTATTATTATTATTATTATTATTATTATTATTATTATTATTATTATTATTATTATTATTATTATTATTATTATTATTATTATTATTATTATTATTATTATTATTATTATTATTATTATTATTATTATTATTATTATTATTATTATTATTATTATTATTATTATTATTATTATTATTATTATTATTATTATTATTATTATTATTATTATTATTATTATTATTATTATTATTATTATTATTATTATTATTATTATTATTATTATTATTATTATTATTATTATTATTATTATTATTATTATTATTATTATTATTATTATTATTATTATTATTATTATTATTATTATTATTATTATTATTATTATTATTATTATTATTATTATTATTATTATTATTATTATTATTATTATTATTATTATTATTATTATTATTATTATTATTATTATTATTATTATTATTATTATTATTATTATTATTATTATTATTATTATTATTATTATTATTATTATTATTATTATTATTATTATTATTATTATTATTATTATTATTATTATTATTATTATTATTATTATTATTATTATTATTATTATTATTATTATTATTATTATTATTATTATTATTATTATTATTATTATTATTATTATTATTATTATTATTATTATTATTATTATTATTATTATTATTATTATTATTATTATTATTATTATTATTATTATTATTATTATTATTATTATTATTATTATTATTATTATTATTATTATTATTATTATTATTATTATTATTATTATTATTATTATTATTATTATTATTATTATTATTATTATTATTATTATTATTATTATTATTATTATTATTATTATTATTATTATTATTATTATTATTATTATTATTATTATTATTATTATTATATTATTATTATTATTATTATTATTATTATTATTATTATTATTATTATTATTATTATTATTATTATTATTATTATTATTATTATTATTATTATTATTATTATTATTATTATTATTATTATTATTATTATTATTATTATTATTATTATTATTATTATTATTATTATTATTATTATTATTATTATTATTATTATTATTATTATTATTATTATTATTATTATTATTATTATTATTATTATTATTATTATTATTATTATTATTATTATTATTATTATTATTATTATTATTATTATTATTATTATTATTATTATTATTATTATTATTATTATTATTATTATT